AGCCACCGCAGCTTAGATAGTCGGTTTGACCAGTGGCCGTTTTTAAATTAATTACTTCGACACTTCCTCAAAGAAACCTGCCTCCCACTCCTTATTTAAGGAATTCCAGGTTTAAGAACTGGCTTACCACCAGATGTTACATAATCTATCATACTATAATAGATTCTAATTCCTTTTCTGCTCACCATTTCTAGAATTCTCCCACTCATATATATCAAGTAGCTATGGGGGCTGGAGAGACAGCTCAGTGGTTAAGAGCATTGACTGCACTTGCAGAGGTCCTGAGTTCAATTCCCAGGAACCACATGGTGGCTCACAACCATCTGTAATGGGATGCAATCCCTCTTCTAGTGAGTCTGAAGGAAGCAACAGTATACTCACATACATAAAATAAATAAAACTTTTAAAAATAAGTAACTATGGGTAGCTACTTAAGTAGTCTATGGTTTCATTTATTCCATAGATCTGAGGATCAATAGGCCACCATCCCAATCTCCTGTAGTCAAAATACCTTGAATATTACTTCTTCTTGAGGGTTATCAACTATACCTATAGTTAGTAACTATACTCAGCATGTGTTTGATACTTACATCTTCTGGCCTCTGCAAGAATCTCCCTGTGTTACTGTGGCAACATGATGTGCAACCTACTGAGGACAATTACCAGTGAAGTTGGAAAGGATTTCTCTGTTCTTCACTCAACATCTTTGTGGGATAAAGTCTACAGGCCCTTCTGGAGGAGATGTGCACAGAGCATAACTGTGCAGGATGAACACAGCAGAGCATATGTCAGTCTTCTTTCCATTACTGTGATAAAACACTTGACAGAAACCACTTAAAACTTAACATGGAGAGGTTCTAAGCTGTTGTCAACAGGCCCCACAGTTTCTGGTTGTGTGATGAGGGAAGGAATTATGGCCGAAGAGCCTGCTGAAGCAAAGCTGCTCCTCTCAAAGCAGCCAGGAAGGAAAGAGAAACAGAGTAGGGGGTAGCACAAAAATATTCTTCAAAGGAATGTCCCCAGTGACCTGTTTCCTCCCCCACCTTCTGCAGTTTCCAACATACCCAAACCTTCATTCAGATTTTGATACTATCAATGAATCAAGCCATCACTTAGGTCAGAGTCCTCATAAACCAATCACTAATGACTAGATAGATCTACCAGCTATGAATAAAACATTCCATACCTCAGCATGTGCAAATACACTTTATATCTAAAACAAAGTCTAACATTTCCATCTTCCTGAAACTAAAGAACCTTTATATGAGGGAAATTCTGGCACTTTCATGTAGAGACTGTAAGCCATTGTAGTAGTTTAAATAAAAATGGCCCCCATAGGTCCATATATGTTACCACTTTGTCCCCAGTTAGTCAAACTGGGAAGGATTAGGAGGTATGGCCCTGTTGGAGAAGGTATATCACTGGGTATGGGATTTGATGTTTCAAACAACTCATGTGATTCTTTCTGCTTGATTGTTATGGATCAAGATGTGATCTCTTAGCTGTTCCTTCACGCCACCGTCATGGATGCTAGCCTTCTAAAACTGTACACCAAATTAAATCCTTTATATAACTTTTCGTTAGACATGGCATTTTAGAATAGAAATTTTAAAAATGTATGACTGCCATTATTACATACTAGCTTCAAGTAACCCATGTGAAAGGGCAGATGCTCAAGTCAACACACATCTCAATTCTAAGCAAGTATTTGGCAAGATTCTATAGCATCTTCAAGTTTATGAACTCTTTCATCCAAGCCCAGGCTATAACTTCTCTATCTGGGTTACGCTGAAAATCCAACTCATATTCTATCCAACTTCTACTCTTACTCCTATCTGCTCAAATGACCCAAGTCCTGACACAGGACCCCAGACCATTCCCTTTAGTGCCTGTACCTTAGCTTAACAGACAGAGATCTTGGAATTATTCAGTTTACAGTGTGTAGCCCTTTCAGTTGTACAAATCTTGCCTCTGCCTCCCAAGTGCAGGAATTAAAGGCCACACAAAACATAAAAAATTCCATGGCCTTGATTTTTGTTGTCATTTAGTCTTGGCTAAAATTAAATCTGACTGTAGAGATCACCAATCACAACTAGCACTTAATGAGGAAGATTAAAAGAGGGGAGAAAGCACAGCAAACCTACAGCAAACCACTATACTTTGTTATATGGAAAAGAGCAAAAAGCTGGAAAATAGGGCTGGTGAGACCACACAGCCTACATAGGCTGCTGCCTCCACCTGACAGCCTGAGTTTGATCTACATACTGGAAAGTCAGAGCCAACTCCCACAGCTGTCTTCCAAGGCGCGCACACACACACACACACACACACACACACACACCATAGTATTAGCACTGGCCCCGCCCCCAAGAAATAAGCTGTAACAAAATTAAATTTTTAAAAGCTGAAAAACATTTACTTGTTAAGTATTATTGTATACTAACATATACATATATATTTTTGAATGAAACACCTATTAAGTCATGTTTCTTCTTATTCCATATCTTGTCATTATAAAACTGAGCAACTGTAAGAGTTCTTTCAATGTCAGCTACATTGACTTACTATTATGTAACTTACAACCTTGAAATTATATGCTTAATTGTTTAAGATACAAATTAAGGCTACTCACAGTTTATAAGTAAATTGAATTTGAATTTTTTTACCAACCAACAACTTACGTCACTGATTTTGTTAAAATTAACTCAGCTAGTTCTGAAAAGAAATCTTTAAAATTCCTTTGAAGTTAGTGTAAAGCAAATGTCTTCCTGTTTGCATCATCTGTGGCACAAGGAAAATGATGAGTGTAGCAGACACTGGTTTCCACCACCACACAGACTCCTGTCTTTCCAGGCTATCCATTCTTTGGTTGATGATCAAGAGCATATGGAGCTAACATTACTGGCAACATAAATTATCTTCACTTGTGACCTCAAACTTTTTATTACCTAATTCATTTCAAACAGTATGCTTCTACAATAATATACTTGGAGGGTTGTCAGAGGATATTTATCTTTGTCTCAAACTGGGTCCTCAGGTTTCCACTCAGTGAAGGCAAACAAAGGAAACTTCTCTGAGGTCTTAGCACTAGGAAAAGATATGCCTCTCTTCATCAATCTGTTTATCTTTCTCTCAAACACAAGCAAACAAACAAAGAAAATCCACTCTCAAATCTTCTTTGGTCTTTTTTTTTTAGTTGCATTGTTCTGGCTTCCTGCTTCCCCCCTTTCAAATCCTATGCAGTTTCCTCTCACTTATTTTTATCTTGTGTAAAAATAAGTATTTTGTGTGAGCTGCCTCAAATTCTCTACGGGATAATGCAGGTATAAATAAGAACAAATACATCTCACACTAGAGAAAGGATCAGTGTTCCCTTTTTGACTCTGAACTTGGAAGGCTGCTCTCCCCTCATACAACACCCACCCTCCAAGTTGACTTGACTATCCTGGGGCCAGTGTGGTGCAGGGCCTTCAACCCATGACTGTTCCACAATGGCCCTAGTCGCAGAGTGGGTAAGGGTGGGTTTGACTACATGACCAACATAAATCCATGACAGTAAACAAGTACTAAGATACCAATAGAACAGTTGAAGAGATTTTGAGTCATCGAAGCCAAAAATATGTGCCCACCAAAACAAGTGCCAAGAAGCTTTGAAAGAAGGAACTGTTCTTCAACCATTTTTTCAGTGCAGCACACACACAGGCTTTGTCCCTGGAGCATGTAAGTCTGGGCTTACTTATGTTCCCTAAATAAGTGCTCTTTGTGTGTGGAATACAAGAAAATGCATATATTCTCTGTTCTATTAAGGTGTTAATTTCTTCATTTATTAGCTATAAGAAGTGTATTTCTCAAAACAGAATTAGATTGTGTCTGGAGTCATGTGTCATCTAAAGTTTGTTCTGTTGTAATTTTTTCTAGTTTTTCCAATTTTTCTTAAATTTTTATTTATATGTTTTGCCTGCATGTATGTCTGTGCACCATATGCATGCCTGGTGTCAATACAGGCCAGAAGAGGGCATTGGACCTCCCCCCAGCCCACTCTGGATCCCTACTTGGAGTTAACAACAGACAAATGTGAGCTGCCATGCAGGTGCTGGGAATCAACCCAGGTCCTCTGACGAGCAGCCAGTGTTGTTAACCACTGAGCCATCTTTGCAGTCCTTATCTGTTTTTTTTTTTTCTACTGAAAATCTCTGCAGGACTCTAGAAATAACTTTACCAGTATACAAAAAATTGATAACTTCATTTCTACCTTAAGAACAAGAGTGGAACTCAAATTACAAAATAGGCCGAAACATTAACCAAATCACTTCTCACAACTCCTGTCCAGTATTTTGTACATTGTTAGGCCTCTTACATTTTTAAAAGCCTCTTACATTTTATAATCCTCTTTACAATGCAGTAAATGGTTTACAAACATTTCTCGGGTGTCAAATGCAAAGCCTATCCTCTTCAGCTACAGATAAGGACACTGAGATGTTGCCAAGTATGCCTTGTCCCAGATCACCTACTTTGGAAGTGTTGGAACCAGAATCAGACAAAGGTCCCTAGCTTTGCTTTAGAATCTCCAGAACTCCTTGTCCCATTAACGTTGCAATATTGCGGTGATGCCCAGAGACCACAGGAACTTCGTAGGAATTGGGGTTTTCAAAAATGGCCCAGGAAACCCCGGTGGAAGACAGGTTATGCAAGCGTGCGGTCCAGCCTCAGAACTGGTACCACCGGGAACAGTGTGTGGAACAGGACGGTGCAGTCGGGCGTGCCGGCGTTTAGTTAACCGGCACTCCCCCACCACCTGCCCGTGCGGCCTCAGTTTACCTGGACCAAATGGAAGTAGGAGGCAGCGCTCCCGAGGCTTGCGCACAGGCCCTCCTCCTCTAGTCCCGCCGGCAACTGGAGGAATCCTGGCTGTTTCTGGGCGGGTCAGACGCCGCACGAACGCCTAGGGCGTCCCGCAAGCAGTTGGGAGGCGGGGCGCAGCGGCGGCGAGGGTGTCGTGCACTCGGCGGGCCTCAGGGCGGCACTCTGGGCCCGCGGCCTGCGCTCTCGGGCGGGCCGGGCTCGATCCGGGCCGGCTGCGAACGTGTCTCCCGGTGACGCAGTCGCGGGTGGAGAACGTGGTGTGGCGGCGACTGTGCGCAGGGCTGTCTCGGAGAAAACGCGGGTCTCCGCGGCGCTCGGCAAGGAACGGACGGCCTCTCGGGTACGGCCGGCGCGGGGCCTGGCGGGGCCGAGGAGGCCCGGAGGCTGCCGGGGTCGCGCCCCGTGACGCCCCCGCGCTCGCTCTCGCCGGTGCAGGCGCAGCTGCGAGCCGAGGCTCCATGTTAGGAAGCGCCGCGCGCCCTCGTTAGCGGGATACGGGTGCCGCGGGTAGAGCCCCGGGCTGGGCGCAGCGAAGATGGAGGCCCCACTGAGGCCTGCCGCCGACATCCTGAGGCGGAACCCGCAGCACGACTACGAGCTGGTGCAGAGGGTCGGCAGCGGCACCTACGGGGACGTATACAAGGTGAGGCCCCGGCCCGGCCTGCGAGCGTGGGGCGCCCCTGGGATGCGCCGGACCACAGCGTCCGGCCAGGAAGCGGCCCGGACCCCGCGGCACCGTTCCGAGCGCCCTGGGTTCCTCATCGGTTCTAATTCTACCGACCGGCAGACTTAACCGCACCTTCCAAACCACGGCTGAGCTTTTTTGTGGTTTTAAGGCGTGTTTATGGTATTGAAGTTACTCTGAAGGTTGTTCTGATGTTAATGTGGGGGGAAAATGCTTCGCAGAAGGCAGTAGATAGGAAAGAATATTGTAAATCTATACATTTGCATTCTAAATTATTGTTATGAGTAAACTTGACTTTAAAAATTTCTGTGGAACCGGGCTCTAAATTGTGAACTGTAAGTAATCTGGATCTGGAGTAAAAGGATTTGTGTGTAAACATGACGCCTATAGGAAGATGTCTTTGGGGACCCGTGAGATGGCTCAGGATGTAAAGGCCCTTAGAGCCAAGCCTTAGGACCCCAGAAAGGTCCCCGGATTCTCCCTGGTGGAATCAAGTGACCTCCACACGGATTCCCCCGCCCCCCCCCACACACACATACACAGTCACACACACATATACACACAAACTCAGTAAATAAAGTGTAATTAAATTTAAACAAATTTAGAGAAAGACGTTTTTACCTGGCAGAAGTTTAAGCATTTGTATCTGGTTGATAATAATGAATATAACTTATGGGGTTTTCCTACTCCAGAATTCTTCTCTTTGGGATTTATAGTATTCCTTAGTCATGATAATTGCTGCTATCCTTTTTATTGATCTCTTACATTAAGACAAATAGTAATAAATTTGTAATCTGCCGTTTCAAAACAAAAACAAAGAAACATGCCATAGCAAAGCAAACCAATTTCTTAGGTCAGGTAAGTTTTTGAAGGGTTCAGAGGAAAAGACTGTCCAATATTCCCTTATGCCTTTTGTTCTTTGTTCCAAAGGGGCAGAGTTAGTGCAGTTCCTTATGGGTATTAAGAAAAGCTTATTTTCCCTTTTGCAACAGCTTGACATTTTGACCTATATATCAGTATGTTCCAAACAGCAATCTACATAAAGCCCTAATGGCCCTGTTTCATGAGTAATCGCTTGACTCCTTTGTTGACTTGCACAGGAACTATGCTAGGGAAGCATCTCTTTTCTCTGCTTGTTTTTGAGTAATTTTCTGCTAGTAGTACTACCTTGGGGTGTTTGATTGTGAGGTGAGGGCTCTAGGTAGGCTTTTTACCCCTTACAATCAGGCACTTGGGCCCAACCAGACGAAGTTCTAGAAAACCGAGCTGTGCAACAGTAAGCAAAGTCCTGACTCTGGCCTTGACTACCTTTGATGCGAATGCACAGTTATAATGGAATCCCCTTCCTTTTGTAAAATTAGTGGTAGTTAGCACAAACTTGTTTATTTGCTCATTACCCGTTTCAGGAAATGCTTACTCTTTAAAAAACAGAAACTCCTGTTTGCTTTCTTGGTCCCATTTTAAGTCATCTTTGTCTTATGATTCACTGTAAGTTAGACCAGTTCCATTCCGTTCATGTTAATTATACAATACTCTAAATTCTAGTTCTTGCTCCACCAGACCCCCTTTCTCCCACGAGGATCTTGCCACGTTTTTCTTTACAGAGTAACAACCTGAGCAGCTCTCTGGAAGGATTGCATCCTTCCCTAGGAAAGCAATGTTTACATTAAAAGGACTGCTGACTGCCTCCTCCTCACCCAGCTGCTTCCTGGTCCTGCTGCTCACTTCTACAACTCCACAATCAGAGGCTAAATGCTTCCCACTCCACCTCGCCCTCCCGCCTTTCACAACCAAGCTCACAATATTATGTGTACTCCTTGAGGGCTAGGCCAGCCTCTGAGTCCCATGCAGCCTTCAGACATTCATGTGCCTTTTTTCTGTTTGGTGTGTTCTAATTACCTGGCATCACCTCCCTCCCCACTTCTCCACCTGTTGCCACCCTTGTTGTCCAGGAAAACATTACCCAGTTTGTAGTAAGCTCCAGCCCCTCACCCTGACCTCTGACCTCACCCACCACCCTCCCCCTCCCTTCTGCTCTAACCACACTGGCCTGCAGGCTTTCCTTAAACAACAATAAGCATCTTCCCACTTTGGAGTCTTTGTTCTTGCTACTTCCTCTGTTCAGTATCTTTTCCCAGACAGTGAGTGTCTTGCTTCCTTCCCTTTAGACATACCTGACCATCATTATACTTACTGCTGTCTAGCCCAGTGTTTTACTTATTTTTTTTACTGGTTTGTTTTGACCAATAATATAAATCCTCCACAAGGACAGGGATTTTACACTCACCCACCCCCATTTTGTTGTGTTAAACGCCTAGAATTAGGCAGGATATGGAGTAAAGGATCTAAGAGGGTGACAAAGTGACAGAGGGCTCTAGGTGATTCTGTCACCTAGTTGTCTGAGCACTTAACTTTGACATCACAACAGTGCTTGTATTTAATTCTCTGTGTATTCCTGCAACGTTTTGTTTTAACGATAGCTACATGTCTGTTTTTATTACAAATTTCAATAACTTGAGTTCTCTGGGAAAACATTTCTGAAAAGCTGTTTCATAGCATATTTATTATCAGTGATCTAAGTCCTGTGGAATTTTGTGAGTTTATACTTACTCCTTAACATGCCTAGAACATGAAAATTTGGAATTTTTTTTTTTTTTAAAGCGGATTGATTGTATTTTTAAGAAACTGAAAATCCTGGGGCACTTCAGAAGTGTTTTCCATCCGTGATGCAAACTAGTAAACTAATTAGTGAGAAATAATGTCATCTCTTCATCTCTTACGCATCCCAGTTTGTCTTTATGCCTGAGCTATATTATGAAGTAGTAACTTTAAAAGTACTCTGGCCTTGAGATTCTTTGTAATTTTTACACTCTGTGAACACACAGGTCTCCTGGGAACCTCCGTTCTTTCCCAAGAGGTGCAGACTCCATCTTAAATGGCTGTTCTCTGCTTGAAAGGAGAGTGATGTAAAGATGTGGGTAAACAGAGGAAAACTTTGAGAGCAGAGCAGGAGATGGTGGAGGGGAGAAAAACACAAAAGAGAAGAGTGTGGTGCATGATGGATGAGGGACTAAGTCCCAGCTAGGCAGATCCTGTTTGTAAGATTTAACACTTGCTAAAAGAAGGGAAAATCTGAATAAAGTGTCTCCCCCACCTCCTGTCCACAGAGCAGCTTCGTTATCATGGTTCACAGCAGCAGCGTGAGAACCTCTGCCATTTTATACCAAAATTGCTTCCGGGCTAGTGTCCAGAGAATTCTAAGATCTCTTCACCTTTCATGGGATGTAAATCTAGAGTAGGGGACCCATGTACTTCTTTTAAACTCTTTTCAACTCTTCGATTGATTATCCAAGAGTGACATGTTTAGTTCCAGGACAACGACCTACAAGTGTATTATATCAAACAGACCAATGCCTATGAAATATTTGTTTAGTGAAATTAGTGGTAGTAAATTGCCCATGTGTAATAAATATGCTAGTAATATAGTTTTTTTCAGGCCTTTTCCTAAATGTTTTTAATTGAATCTGTTTCTGAAATGACTTACATTGTTTAATGATGCCAGTCATGAGTACATGCTACAGTGACCAACGGTTTCTTTAAAATTACTGTTTTTAAAAGGATCCATTGACTGAATCTGTAAGTTTCACATTAGTTATTTCCAATTTTTAAGATTCTTTTGCCATTGTAAATGGCATAATTTGCATAGAAAGCTTTGTCATATACATAGTCTTCTATGAATATAGAAGTGAGTTCTTCTGGAAGCTAAATGAGTCAGATCTGCTGTAATGAATCCTTCTTTTATTCATGGCCTCCTTTCTCTCCCCCAAGCCAGTAGTCAGAATTCTGGAATGGCTTTAGGCACTTTGAAACATATGCTAAGATCAAATGGTAAAGAAACAGCTTAGTACATAGTGATAGTGAGTGCTGACTCTGTGCTGGGGTCTAGAGCTACAAGCCTGGAACAGAAAGTACACTGTCAAAGAGGAGCATGGAATCCAGACAGGAAAACAGACATGCAGTCATAACTTTGTAAGTGCCATAAAGGATATGAAAGAAATACTCAACTCTGTCTCTGTTAAGGGATGGGGTCTGGGTGTCACTGGAGAAGAGAAACCAAAGAAGAGGCAGGAACTAGAATTGGTTTTCCTAGTATGTGCAAGGATCTAGGGACCTAGGGACTGGCACTGCCAAAAAGCCTTGATGAGTCTTAAAGGGTATGCATCTTCCTTCCAGGTCCCTTGCAATAAGAAGAGCGGGTAATAGAGGTCAGGAAAAACCAAGACAGCAGATCTTGTTGGCATAGAGAAATGTGTAGTTTTTTCTTTAGTCTGAAGTATTTTAGGAAGAAGGTTTCATTGGTATAAAGGTAAATAATACAGAGTGGCTGGATCATGGAGACCATTACTGAATAATATGGATGAGAGTTTGTGTAAGTTTGGATACTGGTATAGGAGACCAAAGAGAGATGAATTTGAGTTCAGATTTATAAGATTTATGGGGGAAAAAAAAAGCCCATGATCTGTAACAGAAAGACAAGGAAATTGTGGCACTGGGTATGTTTTTTTTGTCTTGGGTGACATTTTTTTTTGTACTGTTAACAGGAAATACAAATTTTGTGGGATGTGAATTTTGTATTCAGGTTTGTCTGCCCTTCAGACGTTTCATAAGTGACTGTGTCACTTAGGTAAGAGGAAATTCGACTCCAGTCTTGGGAGCTCTGAACTGGGGATTCAGGTTTAGGAGTCATCATCAGTGCATGGGAGACTGCACGTGACATGGAATGAGGTCAGCAGGAAGCGTTCACCCAGGAAGCTTTTAGGAGCGCTGAGGGGACTGTAGTCTTAGAGAGGTGGTGGTGTCAGAAGGAAGGGCTGAGGAGGTTCTTTGCATAGGACTCTTGAGACCTGCTCTCTCCCATCTCCTACTATCATATGCTCTGATTGTAATGAGGAAACATG